GAGAACGGAGAGAGAGTTAGAGAGGAGGGAGAAGAAAAATGATTTAAGGTTAAGGTTTGTATTATATTGATGACTAATTTGTGAATAAATGAAACTTCGTCCCTGAATTTTGAATTGTCATCTCTTAACCCCTGGAATTATATAATTTCCACTTATGATAATATACATAAACGTTGATGGGTGAAATTCAAGTACATACAACAAGTAAAAGTGCATTATAAACTAGCGCGATTAAATAATTATGAGTTTCATCTTATAGTTATAATTCAAATGCGACCACAAATCTGAAGCATTATAATAAAAAATTTGGGTAAAATGTATTTTGGAATAGTAGTTTTTGGGAGAGTGTGTGTCTAAAAATCTAAGAATTTTTATTTATTTAAGTGTAATATTATTTTATTAAAGAATGCGTGGTTAAAAAGAAAATAGAGAAAAATTTATTAAATTTTTAATGAGAATCAAACAAGGCATAATTCTGATAACTACAAGACTTTCTAATCCAAGAGCGAAGCCAAAAAAGGATACTGTGGTGGGCTGAAAGTTAAATTTTTTTCCACTAACTCACGCCAAAAGAGTTGCTCTAAGCCGCACGAGATCACATTTAAGGGCTAAGCTCATGATACTTATAACAAAGTGAGCCAATTACTTGAACAAGTATATGTTTAGATGTCAATTCTTAGATGTCCTATTAGATCTTCTTTGTTAAATAGATGCCAACGCTAAGATATCGTACTACATGCACAAAAAACAAAAAATTCAGTATCCAATAAACCAAAAAAAATCCAACTACTTATCTAACAATTCAATAACATTATAAACAGCCAAAATATCAACACCAAATCCAACAAACCCTTAATAAGCCAATATTCAAATATACATTTAAACTAGCTACATAAGAATGAGAATAACCAAAAGAGAAGGGAAAAAAACCCAAAAAAAAAAAAAACCTATATAATTAAGTGATATTTCATACAAATTACACAATATATAACCTGATAAATGAAACAACCCAACAAAATTGCTTAAAAATTTTTGTATAAAAGCCTCGCGCATATCCCAGATGAACCTCCACTCACTTTTCCAACCTTTAGCAAATTGAAAGGAAAGTAAATAAATAAATAAATGCATTAAATTATTATTATTATTATTATTATTATTATTATTATTATTTTGCTCAACTAGAGAATAGAAAAAAATAGAAAGCACAGGAAAATATTCAATTTTTATTTATACAACCAAACCAATTACATTATTCATGTACAAAACCCTCAATAAATTTAGGCATTTATAGATAACAGCAAAGTACATGACCAAAAATTGAAAAAAAAATGAAAAAAAAAAATTGCACCTTGAAAGGCTTAAAGCCAAAGCCATTTGTCAACTCCAATTTATCGTGGTGAACAAGTGGTCACCAGCTCCAATATGGCTAGGGTTTTAGGGTTTAAATTTGGGGATTTGGGATTTCAATTTCACTACAAACAAATCTACAATTCTAACTGACGCATAGGAAAATGTAAATGAATGAGTTTTGGGTTGGACTTAATAATTTCAATTTCATTCTGAGCTATACATTATAAATCCCAACTTATTATATTCTCGACTTCATTAAAAATAATTGAAGTCGAGGGCCTGCGAATTAACCACAAAGGATATATCTCCTTTACCGGGGCCACATGGTCCCTGATAACCAAGCGTGGTTCAACCACAAAAAAGAAAGAGATCAAATATTATACGATAAAAGTACACGTCACTCTAAAAATGTCGATAAAATAAAGAGCCTAGGAAAACCAATAAAATCTGTTTTTGACGCAAATAGAAGCGTGAACGGAAGGACAAAACCGTTGAGGTTGCAACCCGTGACATCGATATGACGTGGCCTTGTAAGTGGCAGCGTGGTTCAGCAACTTTTGGTTTCTCAGTTTGTTTCCTATAAACTAAAATTAGGTAATTGACGTTTCGCCAACAATTAATCTGGTTTAGCTCACCTGCCCAACCAATAGTGACATGACATCTATTCGAATTTTATTGTATGTTCTTTTTTTTTTAATAAATAAATATAAAATATAGTTTTGATCACCTAATACTAATAAGTAATAATGAGCTACAACTGCCCCCGAATCATAGTCCAGTGGTGTAAAGGACAGGAGTGAGGTTATCTCATGCCTTGCTGGCAACCGCAGTGTGGGGGTTCGATTCCTGAAACATGAAATTTGACTCCTTGTAGAGGCAGCTCTTGTTCCCTGGTCTGTTGGGGCACATTCTGCAATTTACCTCCCTCACAAAACTCTAGGAGCGGGACGATGGGAGCCTTCAAGGTAGGAGTTCAACCTTCTCTCTCTATTTTATTTTATTATTATTTTTTTTTATAGTAATAATGAGCTACAACTACTTCAAGTAAAAAGACATAGTACACACAGTATATAGTACATATGTTTGTACAGTCGGAGCACCAAATTTCATTTGGAAGCTTCTTCTATGATTTCTGGTAATAAATTTGTCTAATTGCATTATTACCTAATTTAATGAATGTGAATAATAAAGCAAAGATCATAAATCGGCCTTTTAATCACATGTATAGTTCAGTTTGGACCATATCTTGGTCCGTCCATGCTCCAACTGAAGTAATTCGTTCGAAGGACTTTATGTAATGAAAATATGAAATATAGATAATTTGACTAGTCTAGTCTAGACTAGACTTAGAACGCTCCAAAATGTTTTTTATTAACCAAATTCTTTTTATTCTAGAGGGCTATAATTCTATTAAAGAATATCGAACTTACGTATTTGAGAAAGATTGAATTTTATTGACACTTCGAAATAAGTTAAAAGTAACACGTCCGACCAGCACGATTAAAAAATATATTATTGATAAATGATAAATTAATGTATGAGTGAGGGTAGTTTAAGTTTTCCAGATCAGCAAATCACTCAAAATGATTGGTGGATTACAACCTTGATATCTATGGAAATAGGTGGAATTTTTAATAAATTTCAATTCCATGCATGAAAATCTTCTCCTGCTTAAGGACACGACACGTTTCTTTAATAATGGTCACTTTATCTTTGTAAGTTTTGTCCCACTATGGTGGAAATGCAGTCATCTTTCCAACAAAGAAATGCCACTAATATGTTGGCTTTAATGCTATGACCATCTCTTATATTACTGACCAATTTAAAAGTTACTTTTGAATACGTTTGGTTTGGATACTTTTTTAAAAGTAATTTGTCCATATAAAAGATATTTTAAAGAAAATTGATTTAAAATAATTTTTTCATGCAGTCACATAACAAAAAACAGAAGTACTACCAAACGATCTACATATATTTACGTGGTTATTATCATTCATTAGAGTTTCAATTAATTGCCTTTTTTGCCTAACTGCTATTCCAATAATCGAGTCATTTGGGATTCGATGTGGATCAGCTAGTTATACTAACTCTTAACTTCCTAAACTGCCCTAACTAATCATGTCTTGATTGATTGATTTAATAATACTTGAAAGTTCAAAACGCAAAATCTCATTTATCTTAGTGGATTCTGTTTCGATTCGCAGAAACTTTTGTATTATTTTAAATATTGTATTAGAAAGAACGGTAAGGGTATTGATCACAAGATAGTGACAACCTTCAACTTCGTCAATCGAAAAACAATAATATTGTTGAAAAACATAAGCTACTGTTTGGTTTTGGCTAAAAAAATAATCGAAATTTAAGTTAAAGTCAACAATTAATTTTAGTCACGAATTGCATAGGATTTAAATTTTTCAATCACATATTTTATCGACTTTTATGAAAATCTAAATCAAATAGGGGCCTCGAGAGTTCTAAATTTATGAGGTCTCCTTCTGCAAATAGGAGGAGGGACTTCAACTGCAAATAGGAGAGAGTGGGTAAGTTGACGAACAGATGCTTTAATCTTTGAATTGAAGAATGGTTCTAATATTTCTTGTGTTTCCAATAAGGAACAAGGCAGGTCAAACATTCACATCCGAACATATATAAATTGTGGAAGCTTCGTTTGGGAGTAACGTTGATTATTTGTTGGCCAATCCGTCAATGCGATCCGACGGCTGCCGTGTCCGCCACCACCAAACAAACATTAAATGTGTTTTTCCCTTATGCTGCTAAGATTTCCAAATTACCCTTCTCTTCAAATTTGGCTTCTAATTTATGCAATATTGTTTGAAGTACATTGCAAGTTTTAGGAACTTGTAAGTCACTTTTAACGGGTCAGAAAATATATTTCCCAATTCATTTGAAAATTGAAATAGTGATATTGAGTTCCACATGATGAAAATTGACTATAAATATTAAAATTATACGTGAGGAGTAAAAATCGTCAAATCACTTAATATTTTCTCTACTATTAGCATGAAACTTGCGTGCAATTTAATTGTCAGCATTCTCAATTTCATTCTTCTTGTTGGAAAGTGAAAAATCAAAAGTATCAATGCAGAAATTTCTATACAATAATACATATAATTTCAGCAACTTATAATGAAATATTGATTAGAAAAAACTTAAAATGAAATCAAAATAGACTTTGAATCAATTATTACTCTATCTAAAATGAATTACATTTTGGCCAATCCAAAAATACCAACACCCTAATTGATTCAACCCTCACTTAAGCGCTTGTTTGAATTTCATTATTTGCTTTGTTTGAGCGCCATTTTGGGAAAATGAATGATTCTTTGATAAAATAATATTATACGTAAATTCAAAATTTTTCTAAATTTTTTAATCATATATTTTTTATTAATACATTATTTAAAAATAAATTCTTTTAAAAATGACGTGGCTTAAACACCGGCTATATTTTAAAAATAATGAAATCAAACAGGGCCAATAAATTTCCAAATCGTTGACCAATTGAGGTTCCAAACCCAGCAACCCGGAATCCGTCCTCACCAATTCTGTGTGCGGTACATCTAGTACAAATCCCATAAACGTAATTACCTCTCTTTTTCATGTCCTTTTTTGTCCAACCAAAAAACTCTCCCCCCACCTAGCTCTCCTTACAAATTCGCTGTCTTCTCTTCCGTCTAATTTCAGGTCTCTCTCTTTGTTATATTTTTTTTATATTTTCACATGAGCATGAATGATATACATAAATAATTCATTTTTCTTCGACGCACATGTATTTCTGTGTACATATATAAATATATTGTGGTTAATTGTGGTGGAAGAGAGGGGTTTGTGATGGCGCCAAGTATGAAGAACCTACAACTGACGGCGTCAGCCGTCAAGGGATCGCCGGAATATGCTGGCGAGGAGGAGAGGCTGCTGGGTGGCGATGACGTGGAGAATTATGTGGAAGTACCGGAGAAATTTAGAAGAATTCAGGTGAGCGTGACGGGGATGACGTGTGCAGCCTGCTCTAATTCCGTGGAATCAGCTCTTATGAGCATACCCGGCGTCGTCAAAGCCTCCGTTGCCTTGCTCCAGAATAAGGCTGATGTCTCCTTTGATCCTATCTTAGTCAAGGTCTGGTCAAGTATTCATTTTATTCCTTTTGTTGGATATATAAAAAATATGTTAAGCATATGTTGAATGCCTGCTGTGTATATGTTGTTTTCCTGTGCAATCAGTTGTTTTGAGTTCATCTTTTGTGCTCTCGATTTACTGAAGCAGGATTCTTTCTTGATTCTGGATTTACTGAAGCTGAGTTTGTTGTTCAATTTTTTGGTGGTATCGTGAGACAATTTTGAGTCAGAAGAGCAGAAATGCGTTTGGTCTTATAAATGAATTCTGAAGTTATGGGTAGATCAAAACGGTGATGAATCTTCATTAATGAAACCTGAATGGATTTGGCAGTGTCATTAATAATAACGAGGTTGGCTTTTTGAAATCCAGGATTGCAAATTGGCATTTATGACTGCTCAACTGAGATTCCCAACATTGACATGAGCTAAATCAATCGAATGCTTTGTTGTTTGAGCTAAATATACTATTTGGGAACTCATTTTACTCTATATCTTCACATTTGGTGCAGGTAAAAGAAAAGAAAAAATCATTGAGGAAACTGTAGAAATATAACATCTTTTCCGTAAACTTATATACACTTGTTTGTTTTAATATTTCCTTGTTTCATACATTGGTCACAAGCTTGAAGAGAATAAGTGAACGTGGTAAAAGGGGGTGCTATGACAAACTTCTGGAGTCCTGCCTCAAAAGCATCAATTGTTTAATTCTCATTTTCTGTCATTTGGTAAAAGACCTGTTTCTGTGCAGGTTAGTGCTGGATATAGGGGTTAATGGTTTAAACATGTTGATGGCTTGCGACAGTAGTTGCCTTTGTTTCAGGTATCAGAAGATCATTTGTGTTCATCTATGTTCGGAGTTTAAACATTCAGTTCGAGATCTATCAGGTACGATTTTTTGGTAGCATCATTGCTGTCGTCTGTGGGAAACGCTACCAAAAGTCATGGTTAACACATGCAGGTTTTCCTCCAGCAAGCTCATCCATTCCAGACAACCCTCATCCTCTTGAGTATCTCCATGTCCCTTAGGGAGAATTATCAGAGATGTCAGCGCCTTCTCCAACCGATGTTACCACTGGAGCCTTTGAGGAGCTCCGTCAACAAGTTGCTACATTAACCCAATTGTTGAGTCAGAGAAATTCACACTCGTCATGTACCCCAACTCCTGAAGGTGGTTTTATGGCAGATGCTCAAGCTTGAGTCCCACGCACAACTTAGGATGATGGTTGCGTTGGAACTTTAGGTGTACCACATATGGTCTCAGGCTCAAGGTCTGTCACAATAGACTCCGTCGAACTCGCTAGGATTATTCAAGAAGGGATAGCGACGGGTATGCAACAAAACACTCGGGTAGCAACAGGATTCACCCCCCAATACGCCGTTCACCCCAGAAGTTCTCTCATACCCCTTCTTGGATAGGTTCAAGTATCCTCAGGTAAAGGAATATGACGAGACAACTGACCCCATCAACCACCTCAATGTATATACGGATATCATGAATTTATAGGTCACACCAAATGCGGTGATGTGCAAGGCTTTCCCTCAGAATCTCACAAATGCGGTCAGAATTTGGTTTTCCACTCTGGAACCCAACTCTATCACCTCTTTCTCAATTTTGGCTGACAAGTTTTCTGCTTTCTTTGCAAGTAGCAAGTGAATCAGAAAGACAGCAGCGTTACTCATGCAGATACGGAAAGGGCCCAATGAAACACTTCGTAATTTCATGACTAGATTCGAAAAGGAAAGACTTCATATCCCTGATCTACATATTACAGTCGTGGTCTCAGCTTTGACATATGCCATTAGGTGTGAAGCATTCAATATGTCTTTGTCTAAAACTCATCCAAAGTCAGTAACTGAGCTACTTACCCGAGCCGAGAAATACATCAACATGGAAGAAACCATGACCCCAAGAAGAGATTTTTCATCATCAGGAAAGTCGGATAGAAAAGGCCGCATGAGTCCAATCCACGACAAGATGCACCAAGGGTCAAGCCAAGCCAAGCCAAGACCCCTCATCAACATCCTTCATCTGCTTGAACACCTTGAGGTCTAACATTCTGATGGAGATCAAGGACTTGAAGGAGCTTAATTGGCCCCCTAGATTGCGGCCTCTAGCTGATACTTGTGACAAAAGCAAGTACTGCGATTTCCATAGAGATCATGGGCATATGACGGAAGATTGCTTTGCTTTAAAGCATGAGATTGAAGCTTTTATAAAAAGAAGATTTTTGGGCTATTACATTAGCAATGACAAACGCCCAAGGAACAATCAGAATAAAGACAAGGTCCCAAAGGTTTGGGAAAACAAGCAGCCTGCTGTAGGTACTATCAATATTATTGTTGGAAGAACGGCCTCGGGGGGAGATTCTAGCAGCGAGCGCAAACAGTACGCCAAGCAGTCTCCCACCGTCTCAAGGACAAATCTTGGTTCTACAGAGGACATCACTTTAGGGGCAAGGGACTTGAAGGCATATCATTCCCTCACAATGATGCTCTTGTTATATCGGTCATCACTGCCAACTTTGAGGTCAAAAGAATTCTGATAGACAATGGAAATACCGCTAATGTATTGTTTCATGAAGCCTTTGATCAAATGGGTATCTCAACCGAACAACTTAAGCCGGTCAAAATACCCCTTCAAGGGTTGGGAGGTGGGGTCATCAACCTAGAAAGTGTCGTCGGGTTGTTCTTGACATTGGGATCAGAAGGTAAGCAAGTGACACAGACCACAACCTTTGAAGTTTTCCGTATTCCAATGGCCTACAATGCCATACTTGGAAGGCTACTGCTCAATGGAATCAGAGCTATTGTCTCAACATTTCGCTTGGCCATGAAGTTTCCTACAAGTAATGGAATTGGGGTGGTTCGAGGAAGCCAAACAGTGGCACGACAATGTTATGTGACTAGTGTCCAAAAAATCAAAGGCAAAGTCATGCAACTTCGGAGCTCGAGAATCATGGGAGACTTGCTCTAGTAGAGAGGTTGGCTGAGGTTGAGCTCGAGCCTTGCAAGAAAGTGACTATCGGACAAGAACTTGATGCAGCAATCACGGTCGAACTTATGAGTTGTCTCTCCCGCAACATTAATGTATTTGCCTGGATTGTCGAGGACATGCCTAGGATTGACCCAGAGGTAGTAGTGCATAGACTCAATATAAATCTAGAGGCAAGACCTGTCAAGCAAAGAAAAAGGCAGTTTGTATTTGAAAGACGAGAAGTCATAAAGCAGAAGATTGCTAAGCTTGCTAACGCACAGTTCATTCGGGAAGTGCAATACCCTGATTGGCTTGCTAATGTAGTTTTTGTCAAGAAAGCTAATGGAAAGTGGCGAGTTCGCATTGACTTCACAGATTTGAATAAAGTATGCCCTAAAGATAGTTATCCACTATCTCAGATCGATAATCTTGTGGACAGCACGTCAGGTCATATGATGTATAGCTTCTTGGATGCATTTTCAGGGTATCACCAAATACTGATGGCGGAAAAAGATCAAGAGAAGACCTCATTCATGGTTGACTCAACTATCTATTGTTACAAGGTCATGCCTTTTAAATTGAAAAATGTTGAGGCAACATATCAGAGCCGATCAACAAGGTCTTTGCTAACCTAATTGGAAAAACGGTCGAAGTGTATGTAGACGATATTGTGGTTAAAAGTAAGCAAGTGTATGATCATATCTTTGATTTCGAGGAAGTGTTTGCTACGCTATGGAGGTATTATATGAAGCTCAATCCTACAAAATGTGCATTTGGAGTTGCATCGGGAAAAATCCTGGGTTTTATGATCGCACACAGAGAAATAGAGACTAATTCTGATAAAATCCAAGCTTTGATGTCTATGGAGTCCCCTAAGAGCACAAAAGACATTCAGAAGTTGACAAGTCGTATAGTAGTACTGAACAGATTTATCTCTCGAGCAGCAGATAAGTGCTTTCCCTTTTTCAAATTGCTGAAGAGAAATCAAGGTTTCGGTTGTAATAAAGAATGTGATCTAGCCTTCCAGAAGCTCAAGCAAGCATTAGCAACACCTCCACTTCTTACCAAATCGGAGCCCAGTGACACATTGTTTTTGTACTTGGCTGTTTCCTAAAATGCAGTAAGCGAAGTACTATGAAGGAAAAAGGGAGGGTCTAGCAACCTGTCTATTACGTAAGCAAGGTACTTGTTGATGCGGAAACCCGATACACACTTGCTTAACAACTTGCTCTGGCTTTGGTTGTAGCTGCCAGAAAGCTACGGCAATACTTCCAATCACATCCAATCGTTGTACTTATAAACCAACCCCTTAGGCATATACTTTAGAAACCAGATGTCTTGGAAGATCTTTGAAGTGGGCAATTGAACTTGGAGAATTTAACATAGAGTTCAAGCTTTGGTCACTTCATAGCAGAACTCACCCCAATGTCCCAAGAGACGAAGGGTGAGGACCCGAGCATGACCTCCAAAATATGGGAGATCTTTGTGGATGGGGTATCCAATAGCTCGGGCTCGGGGGCCGATTTCATCATTACTAGCTCAGACAGGACCACAGAGACACAATGTGCACTCAGATTCGAATTTGAGGCACCAACAACGAGGTCGAATATGAAGATTTTGTCATAGCCCTCGAGCTTGCAAAAAGTCTTGACCTGGAACACGTCAGAATTTACATTAACTCATAGCTAGTGGTCGAGCAGTTAGAAGGATCTTTCGAAAGAAAAGATGAAGAAATGAGCTTATATTGTCTAAAGTTGCGTGATCTCTAGATACAGTTCAGAGGTTGTGAGATTCTAAAGTAATAAGGGTCGATAATTCCAAAGTCGATGCGTTATCTAGGCTTGTCTTCATGGGGAGTAGATGGACTTGATAGGATAGTGCACGTCAAGATGATAACCAAATCTAGCGTAGCTCAAAAGACAAACACCATGGATATTGATCATGAGCCCTCTTGGATGGATCCAATAGTTGAGTGCATAAGTAGTGGAAACCTACCATCTGACCTTTGAGCTGCCATGAGCATCCGATCTAGGGCTGCAAGGTACTGTCTCATTCGAGGAGTTTTGTTTCGTAGGAGCTTCACCCTCCCCTACCTAAGATGCCTTAAACATCCTAAGTCCTTCAAGCTTTGACTGAAATTCATAAAGGAATATGTTGAAGTCATCAAGGATCTCGAGCCCTTGCCTATAAACTGATAAGTTGTGGGTATTACTGGCCGAGTATGAAGAAAGATGTAGCTGATTTATGTTTGAAAGTGTGACAAATGCTAGAAGTTCGGTTACATCATATACGTCCTCGTTGAAGAGTTAACCTCCATCCATTATACTGCTCATTTTGAACAATGGAGAGTTGACATCCTTGGGCCTTTTCCCTTAGCTAAAGAGCAATTAAAGTTTGTGGCTGTGGTAGTTGAATACTTCACAAAATGGGTAGAAGCTGAACCCCTGGCAACAGATCTCGGAGCCCAAGCTCAGATCATTCATATGGAAGTCCATCGTGTATAGGTTCGGAGTACTAAAGGTCCTCATAACAGATAATGGGAGGTAGTTTGACAATCCACAATTGAGAAATTTCTGTGCTAACCTCGAAATTGATCACTGCTTGACCTCGGTGTCACACCCACAAAGTAATGACCTTGCTTAAGTAACTAACTGGATCATAATGCAAGATCTTCGAAGAAGAATTGAGGATGTTAAAATTAACTGGCCCGATGAGTTGCCATCCATACTTTGGGCATACATAAGACCGTGATTGGCGAGACGCCTTTTATGCTAGCATTTGGACTAGAAGCTACCATCGCAATTGAGGTCAGACTCCCAACGATAAGG